ATTCCCCAATAAAATCTTAAAAAGAAAAAAAAAAGAATCCATCTGAAGACATTACAATAATGCCTAGTTAATTTGGTAATTATCAAAATTTTATTAGTTCAGTTTAGCTCCATGTTGACCTCCAAAAGTTAAACCAGGCATTGAATATTTATATGCTTTTTACCTAGGAGATAAGGTCAATTAAATTCAGTATTATTTAATGGTGCCTAGTCTGCGGACAAATACTGTATTAGGTACTGGGCAATGCAACATCCCCTCAGAGGGGTGAAGAGATGCATAAAGATTCCTTCATTGTACGCATTTAAGTGCTTAGTTTATGCTAAACACTGTCAAAGGATGGGGTCACCACCCACTATTTGAACAGAATTCAGCATAAAGCCACATTTGTTGCTGGCCAGGCACAGTCTTTCTGAGCAGAGAGAACTAGGGATCTTTTGCTTTTTCTGGGGCAAAAATGTGGCTTCAGGGATCTGAAGACTTAGGAAAGGTCATGGTTACTTGGATGAATGGGTTGTAGTTTGGCTGGATTTGGAAAAAAGTTTATTGGAGTGAATCTTCCTAACTGACTAACTTTCAGAATCGAGGAGAGCTTCATAATTAGTTAGCTAACAAAACAAGTTCACCCAGCAAGTTGTCATTGATTGATTAAACAAGGTAAAACTAGTCTGATGGTTAACTTGTTACCATGGCTCAGATTTCTTTATCTTTTCCCAAGAATGTGGGCACTTGTAAATTATTAATTTTATGCCAGCTCTGTCCAATAAATATAATAGTCACATGTACAATTTTAAGTTTCCTAGTAACCACATAAAGAAAAGTAAAAAGGGGTGAACTTGATTTTAATAATATATTTAACCCAGTATATCCAAAACATCATTGCAACGTGTAATCAATATAAAAACTATTAATTAGATACTTTACATAAAGCCTTCAAAATCTGGTTTGTGTTTTACACTTACAGCACATCTCAATTCAGACTAGCCACATGGAAAATGTTTTGGTAGTGTCATATGGCTAGTGGCCTCTTTTAGACAACGCAGTTCTACGTATATACTAGCTGCTGGGGACACAATGATGGAGATAAGGTTATGCCTGCCCTCCAGGGTCTCAGAGTCTCAAAGAGGCACAGCCATGTAAACAAACATGGCTACAGTGCTATGTACAGGACCAGGACTAGAGGGAGGCAAGCAAGCCATGGACACAACATTTAAGGACGTGCTCACTCTCAGGGTTGTGCAAGTGTAGGGTCTGCCCCAAGAGTGAGTGCTTCCTTAAATGCTGCATGCTAAGCCCCTCATTAGCCCACCTTGGGAGCCTGAAAACACAGCAGAGTATGGGGCTCTGACCCCAGAGTTTACAATTCAGAAGCTCTCAAGCAGGGTCTAAAAACCTGGAGTTTCCAATAAGCATCCTTAAGAATTCTGATGCTGGCATTTAGGATCACCCTTGGAGAAATTCGGCCTGTGCCAACAGCCTCACGGGAGAGTTCCTTTACATCCAGTGAAATAACTTCTCTCTTTCTCTTTGGTTTTGGGAGTTATGTGTTGCCGAACTCATTGATGAACTATCTGGCTTTTTGGGGGAATGCAGCGGGATTCTGAAGTTTCTCTTGCAGAAAGCTCCTGCAGTCTCAGTTCCTGAGCTTTTAGCCTGCAGGACCACAGAATGAACAAACTAGAGTACCATTTTATTGTGATACCAACACATTAACTATTTCGGGGACACAAATAGAAAAGGCACATGACAGCGATGAAAAGAGGGATTGTAATGGACAAGGAAACGTGCGGAACGAACTGAGTTGTTTGAAATGGGAAAGAGCCAAGATTCAGCACTGTGTTCCCTTCGGCTTCTTCACATTATTTGACACTGTCGAAGGCTCCATCTTGTCTTGCCCTTGGTCTTCACCCTATGCAAATAGAAAAAGGCAGTCGTCTATGTGCTGTCAGATTATGGGGAGGCACACCGGAGGATTCCCGTCACAGTCGCGTGCTCTGAGAGGTGTTCAAGCAGGAGTGGGAAGCAGCCCAAAGCGGGATGTGTCTGCTCTTCTGTGTGCATGTGTGTGCTTCCATTTCCAGGTGTCCCCCTTGGTGTGCTTCCTGCTATCTCCAGCAGCTTCCTTCATCACCGGGCAGCTAGTGGCCGTGGATGGCGGCCAGTCTCTGTACAGCCATATGTGTGACATACCAGGTGAGCTGTGAAGAGGTGAAGTAGCCACTGACTTTATGCCGTTTCATGTTCACATTTCCAAAATGTCTTAAGTAGTTACTTAAAAAGGAAGGGTGTTCTCTGAATAGAACATCAATATGTGCAAAACGTTTATATTCGTGATGTGGCTTTGAAAGGAAATGTTCCTAATCACAGAAAATACCAAAATAGCTTTACTGTAGAACTCAGCTTTTTTATATATTAAAAAAGTTTTCAGTGTGCATGTAGGTTGGTAGAACTTGAACCTGGAAAACTATTTTTAACAGTATACATGTACAAAGAGGGGCTACAAATGGGGTAAGGAGTTGCCATTTTTTTTTTTTAGATTTAATTCCTCTTCATTCTTCCAATAAGTGGCTTGTATGTTTGAGCAGAAGAATCAGACCTCTTAGGCGGGGAGGGGTGGTATGGTGCTAATTTATACTGTCTTTGGAATATATATTGAGTGAAACCATGTGAATTTGCTGTATTCGTTTTTGATGCACAAAAACAGTAGTTTTATAAGGCTCATCCAAATGTAGATATTAAATTGTGTGTGTGTGTGTGTGTGTGTGTGTGTGTGTGTGTGTGTGTGTGTGTGTGTGTGTATTTCATGGCTAAACCATAGAACTTTGGGGCTGGAGCTGTCCTAAAAATATCAGTCCAATAACCTAACTTTACAAATGACAAAACAAACCCATGGAACTTAAAAGGGACATCCAGGCTAATCACTCCCAAAATATAGAAAGGGAGATAAAATTCAAATGTTTTCAAACTGTTGCTCAAGATAGTTGATTAAGTGGCTACTAGCAAATTAAAATATGGTTGATGTTAACACATGTGTCTTTGAATTTCATATCAGGGACCCAGGTTCAACCTACTCTTTCATGTGCTAACAGTCAGATCAAGGCTGAAGACCTTCCCATTAATAAATGATTATTATAGAACTATAACATTACTTATTATTTCTCCTCCCATACTTATTTCTTTACTTATAACATCAATGTGGTGATGTGCATAAGATACTGTGTTTTTTGTTTTCTAAGATACTGTGGTCTTAAGGATCTCAGTGGAAACACAGACATGCCTACATGGTTATGCAGTTTTGTTTTCTGATAGTATTTAAAGCAGTGGGCGTGGGAGACCATCTTTCCACTTCCCCCACCAGTAGAGCTGAGTCTGTATTTGTTAAGGTGAGTTGCACTGTTATTTCTTTATTAAGGGGAAGAAACCTTAGGTGCCTGCTTCTCTAGGCCTCCAGTAACATGATTTTCTTGTGTAATGCTGACGCTATTTTTATCAGTACAAAACGATTTTTAAAGTTTTTGAGGAAAGCAGCCACATTTATTTTTTAAGACTATATTCCCCAAAATTATGAGTGGGACTATTCAGCCTTCCCTTCTAGAGTTTCCTTTAAGATTGTCGGCCCTGGAGTGAGTATGACTGTGATGGAAAGCTTGGCTATACTCTGATTTGCTGTATGATCTTTGGAAAATTAATCTCTGCACGCCTCCATTTTCCTCTCTATCAAGTGGGTTCACTTATAGTATTTATTTGGTAAGCTGTTGGGAGGATTAAATTAGATAATGCACATTTGAATCCCTGGGTCAAATAGGATACTTTCAGATGCACCTCAAACTGGCTTAAGCCATAAAAGAATTTGTTGCCTCCCATGAAAAGCAGGTGAGACTTGACTCAGCAGCTCCACGATCTCATCAAGGACTTATGTTTCTTTTACCTCTGTTTTTGCTTCCATGATGTTGGCTTTATCTTAAGACTTACTCTCCTGGTTGCAGGATGGCTGGCTGCCTGCCGCTCTTAAAGCTACATGCTTCTTTGTCCACATCCAGCTGGGCAGAGAGGGAGGGGAGGGGAATGACTTTCTTTTAGCCTTTCTAACAAAATTCTGAGATCCACTCTGCTTTGGAGGAGCTTATGCAAATGTCCATGCTCAACCAATAACCAGAGGAATGGCGCGCACTGATTGTCTTAGATCCGTCAATCATCAGTCAATGGTCTAAATGGGGTTGCTTGCCCCAGAGCTCCCTGGAATCCTAAGTGCAAACAGGCTATTGGAAAGAGGAGATGAGGGGTTGGGTGCTAGGGAGGCAACTAACTAGATGTGCCTGGGACAAAGTAAGCACGTTGTTTTCAAATCAGTATTATTAAGGAAGTAATATTAAGGAAGTAATGTCAACAGTAGGCCAAGCACTGTACATAGGGTGTCACATTTAAATGCTCACAACTGTGAAAGATAAATATTGTAATTCCCTTGAATAGAAGAGAAAACCGAGGCTCAGGAGGAGTAACTTCTCCAAATTCAGCACAGCTAGTAAGTGGCAGAGCTAGGATTCAAATCCAGGATTTTCTCAAAACCTATGCCATTTGTCCTAATAATTTCTTTTTTCTTTCTGAGAAAAGGGGTGAACCAGGGAACATAACAGGAGGGGTTGGTGGAAAGTAGAAGGACTTCTGAGGTTAATAGATTTGCATGTGACATGAGGTTTTCCACTTACTTAACAGATCATGACAACTGGCCTGAGGGAGCAGGGGACCTTTCGGTTGTTAAAAGGATGAAAGAATCTTTAAAGCATGAAGCCAAGCTCTAACCTAAGGAAAGAAGGTCCCCAAATGCCTTCAGCTTTGAGAATGCACTTGTGTACTTTATAGGAGTTTATAATTTACGTGGGAAAAATCATCTTCTGCTTTTTTAATGTTATCAATTTTGACTATGCAAAATCTATTCTTGAAATACATGCATTTTTAAGTCCTAACCAATGCGCTTTAGCCTGTGTTTAAAAAAAAAATTAAGAGTAGAAATTAACATACTCTGTGATTATACTTTTTATTTCTAAGAAAGGTGTTTGAAAGTGAAATAATTTCAAATTAATAACAGTATCATGATCTCCCAAAAGATTTGAACATTTAATTGTAAAGGTGGGCAATAAATCTAAATTGTGGCATCATTATGATTCTGGCAAACAGAGTAATACAGTGACTCATTTTACCTGGCAAGTACTTTTGGATCAATAAATCTTTATGGTAATTATCGGTATGTGGTTTGCTTTGTTTAGGAAGTCAAATTTGTATAAACTCTCTTAATTCAAAAGGAAAATAAAGTTATATATAATATATTTTTTGCAGTGCTTGATTTGTGTCTTGATTTCTTACCCAAGGTATTCCTTTTCCCCATGTTTTTCCTTTTGTTCTCAAACTTGGTGTGTGCATTAATTTGCTGGAGCTGTCATAACAAATACCATGCACTTGGGGGCTTAAGCAGCAGAAATTTATTTTCTCACAGTTCTGGAGGCTAGAAGTCTGAGATCAAGGTGTCAGCAGGGTTGATTTCATTCTGAGGCGTCTTTCCTTGGCTTCTCCTTTGGTCTTGCTGCTGTGTCAGTGTCCTGATCTCCTCTTCTTATAAAAAGGCCAGTCATGTTGGATTAATAACCTCATTTAACCTTAATTACCTTCTAAAAGGCCCTATCTTCAAATACAGTCACATTCTGAGGTCCTGGGGGTTAAGACTTCAATGTACGAATTTTGTAGGGGACACAGTTCAGCCCATAACACTCACTGCCTCAGAATTCTCAAGCCTCGAGCAAGGCCAAGATGAGGGTAAGGGAGGTGAGGGGCCTGGGGGTGCAGCATTTAAGGACATGCTCACTCTCAGGGTTGTGCAAGTGTAGGGTCTGCCCCAGGAGTGAGCGCTTCCTTTAGTGCTGCATGCTAAGCCCCTCAGTCCCAGCCCTGCCTGAGAGCCTGAAAAAAATGGCAGATTGTGGGGCTCTGACTCCAGAGTTTATAATTCAGAAGCTCTCAAGTAGGGTCTAGGAACCTAGAGTTCCAATAGGCATCCTTAAGAATTCCGATGCTGGCGTTTAGGATCACCCTTGCCTCACAGGAGAGTTCCTTTACATCCAGTGAAATAACTTCTTTCTCTTTGGTTTTGGGAGTGTGTGTTGCTGAATTCATTGATGAACTATCTGGCTTTTTTAGGGGATGCAGTGGGATTCTGAAGTCCCTCTTGCAGAAAGCTGTCGTCTGAGTTGCTGGGCATCGGACCTGGCAGAACCAGGGGCTGACTCTTCTCTGTGGAGTCCTTTCTGTCCATCCAGATAGCAGGAGCACCTGAGACACATAGGACCACGTCTGAGCCAGTGCACCAGCAGCTGCCATGACTGAGTGTAGTGGACGTGTGTTGTTTCTGCCTTGCTAGCATCCATTCCTTTTTTTTCGTGGCTCCAGCTGATTTTCCTTAGGACGTTCTCCTACCATTAGTCCAACTGGCTTACTGTTCCTGTCCCCTCATCCCTTCTCTCTTGAGCACTGCAAGGATGCACATGAGACTCAAGCCTGCTCAGTAGGTGTTTCCCCTCCCTCTGAAAGAGCAATTGGTTCCATTTCAGGCCAAGCAAAGCCGGATCCTGGCCTGTTGATTGACTGGGAAGGAACTGTTCTCTTTCTGCTGATAATCCCAGCCAAAAAGATGGTGAAATCCACCTCTACTAGGGGCCTGAAGAGTGTCACCATCTCAGAGCCCAGAAAGGAAAAGAGAATGTAAGTCCTTTTCTATAACAGAAATACCATAGATTGGTGGCTTTTAAACACAAATTTATTTTTCAGAGTTTTGGAGGCTGGGCGGTCCAAGATCAAGTTCCTGGCAGATTCAGTGTCTGGTAAGAACCTGCTCCCTGGTTCATAGATAGCTGCCTTCTTGCTGTGTCCTCACGTGGCGGAAGGGACGAGGGAGGTCTCTGGGGTCTCTTTCATAAGGGCACTAATCCCATTCATGAGAGCTCCATCCTCATGACATCATCACCTCCCAAAGCCTCACCTTCTTAATTCCATCACTTTGGGGATTAGATTTCAACATACGAATTTGAGGAATGCACAAACATCCCATTTACAGCAGAGACGAACTTTTATCTTTTGAGTGCCGGGATCCAATTATGTCTGAGGCTAGCATTACTTCTAAATTTTCCAGTTACTTGAGCCAGTAAATTTCTTTTTATACTTAAACCAGTTAGATTGATGGTTTTGTCATTCACAATTGGTTGTTGATTAATGCCCAGAGGATAAAAGTCACAAAAATCTAGACAAAAGTGTTATATAAGGTTGATGCAACAGGTGGGGCTATAAGAATCAAGTTTTCTTGAAAAACCTCTTAACATGCTCTATCCGTCTTCTAGCTTACCTTGTGTTTTTATTCTCTCCAAGGGCATCCTTTTGAAAGGTTAGACTTATTCCTAAATAATAAGTTGCTTAACAAAGACGCTACTAAATTTTGAGGAAAGCAAAGATGTTTGTCGCTTGAAACTGAAGAATGAGCAAGATTGATTAAGGTTTTCTTAGAGCATACCTTTGAGGTGGGGGAGGGAAGAAAGTGAAATTGACCAGCAGACAGAACCAAATAAAAATAGCTTGAGGGCCAGCCGAGTGGCGCGATGGTTAAGAACTCGCTTGGGATGCCAGAGGGCCCCGGTTCGGATCCCACATATGAGGGCCAGTGACACTGCCCTCTACAGCTAAGATGCTGAACAACGGCTCAACCTGGAGCTGGGCTGCTGTGAGTCGCTGGCGACGGCGTGGGCTGCAGCCCCTGATGCAGTGGGTTGCCATGGGCTACCGTGTGTAGCCAGCAGCCAGCGTGAGCGACCAGCAGCCGCAGTGAGCGGCCGTCCAGAAGCCGGCGACTGATCTGCCTCACCCGGGAAGAGCGCAATGATGGTGCCAACTTGGGCCAGTGAAGCAACGTCCTCCACAACTAGACTGAAGAACAAAACGACAGCAACTTGTCTGTCCCCCTTCCCCCAATTCCCCAGCACTGTTCCCATCCCCCCAATTCACCAATAAAAAAATCTTTAAAAATAAATAAATAAATAAATAAATAAATAAATAAATAAATAAATAAAAATAGCTTGAAAATCTAGAATGTGTTTTGCATTATGGGAAACTACAGAGTGATATTACTAAAGGATTCTCAGATGGCATATTATTTATTTCGCTTCAGGGAAGAGAAGCCAAGCAGAGAAACAAAAATAAAAATCTCACCTGAAAAAAATCAATCTTTGAATTGTTGTACCTGGCCTAAAAGCAAACTGTTTTTTCATAATTCTCCCCCCCGCCCCCCCGTCATAATTACCATTTTCTTGCCTCCTAACATCCCTCAGTGAGACTGTATGGCTTTAGTTCTCAAAGCAACAGAATCTGATCCTGGTTAACTTAAGCAAAAAAAAAAAGTTTTTATTGACAAGTTATGGAGTGACCCAGAGAATGATGTGAAAACTAAATGGCTAGAACTAGATTTTGGAAAACACAAAAAGAAAAGCTCCAGGCATCTAAATAGCATCTGCTGTTGGATGTCCTCTTCAAGATGCTATCCCTAAAAAGAATTCATGTCTCAACTCCACCCATTTTTCATCTTTGAGTCCTTGCCCTTAAGATGCAAATTTCAGGAAGGGTGTCTGATTGGCCCATCTTGGTCACATGCCCACCCCTCATTGGTTGGGAGTTAGGGGTTGAGGGATGGAGTATGTTCATTGTCATGCCCAGCCCATGGGACTGGAGGGAATTGCTCCTCAAAGAAAAATAAAGTGCAGTCACCAGCAGGAGGGATGAGGCATACTGCAGAGGCAGAACCAAGAGACCCAATGGGAACCCTTGGCTGGCTTTTACCTTGGTGACATCCAGTCATTCCATTCCCTAAGGTGACTTCTCCAGAGATAGAAGGCATGTTGGCTGTCCATTCTGTGTCCTTTGGGGTGAGTGAGGATGCTAAGGTTGGTTTGGGGTACAGGCTTGTTTCAGAAGATGTCTGTTTTCTCTAAGGAAGACAGGACTCTTGAGGTTTTTCTCTACTGAAATTAAACATAAGTGTTCATGCAAACTCTGGTTCACTAAACAGTTCTTTTTTTGTTTTCATACACTTAATTCACATTTGTTAAGAGCCTACTGTGTGCCTGCACTGTTCCAGATGTCGTGATATTCTTTTATCTGCTGAGTTCCTACTATGGTCTGCATTATTCTAGGTGCTGGGGATATTGGAAAGAACAAAACAAAGTCCCTATCTTTATGGATGGGACCTACCTTCTAGTTCACCATTGTATCTCCAGTACCTGGCCCAATAAATATTTGTTGAATGAATAACAGAGTGACACCAGCTTGTGCTATGTTGCTGCAACCATAGCTTTTCTGTAGAATGCACTGATGATGTGGTGTTGGAGCTTAAGTATTTTGATTTTCCAGTTTTTCCCATCCTGCATATGTCTTTTTCCTCCAGCTCTCAGAAGTCTATTCATTCAGAAGGAGGATTTCAAACTATACTAGTTGTTTTCAAAGCAGACTCTATGGAGTTTTCCCTGCCATGGAAAAATCAGAAAATATAAACCAGCAGCTCTGCCTTGAAAACAAACAGCTGATGGGTCTATGAGTCACCCCAGGGGACTGCCTCCTACTCCCACGTCAGGTGCCCAGGAGCACTTGGCAAATGTCAGATGTTGCTGCCTGTGGTGGGTGTGTTGGCGTCAACTCAGGCAGTCGGAACAATTTAGCATCACTCTAAAAAAAGGGAAGTTCACTGCTCTCCTGCAAATGATGGCTGAAGCAGGAAATAAGGTTGCCCAAGTGTGGTCTTAGCTGTCTAGAAGCTGAACCTGGAAGGTTTGGTGGTGGTGGTACTCCTATCAAAGGTTCATTTTACAAAAACAAATAAAACAAAACAAAAAACAGGGAAATCATGAAGGTTCCCAACTTCTGGGAAGATGAGCACTATGAAAACACATTAATTATCCTTAGAAAACTAAAAAATAGAATATTCACATTTGTTAAGAACAAGGAGCTGTTATGTGTACTAATAAGAATAGATCTCCAAGACACACTCATATTAACTGTATTAAGTGAAAAAAGCTTGCAGAGAGATTAATGGGTACTTTTTATATTAAAACAAAACCCACTGCCCGAAAAACGACACACACAATGATTCTATATATACATCAGAGGGACACATATGTGTATGTTTGTTCAGAAAAAGTTTGTACCGTACTGATAGTAATGGTTACCCTGGGGAGGGAACAAAAGGGAGAGGACTGTGGATTGCAGTCAGAGGGGACTTTACAATATTTCAATTTTTTAG